TCACCTCCCACCTACTAGCGATGGCCTCCAACCTACGAGCAATGGCCTCCCACCTACTAGCGATGGCCTCCAACCTACTAGCACCAATCTACAGTACTAGCGATGGCCTCCAACCTAAGAGCAATGACCTCCAACCTGCTAGCGCTGGCCAGCAATGGCCTCCAACCTACTAGCGATGCCTCCACCCCACTAGCAAACGCCTCCAACCTACCAGCGATGGCCTCCAACCTACTAGCAATGGGCGATGGCCTCCAACCTAAGCAATGGCCTCCAACCTACAGCGATGGCCTCTCAGGTTGCAACCTGAGAGCAACAGCCTCCAACCTACTAGCGATGGCCTCCAACCTAAGAGCACTAGCCTCCAACCTACTAGGGATCGCTACAACCTACTGGCGATGGCCTCCAACCTACTACCGATGGCCTCCAACATACTATAGCCACGGCCTCCAACCTACTAGCGATGGCCTCCAACCTACTAGCGATGGCCTCCAACCTACTAGCGATGGCTTCCAACCTAAGAGCAATGGCCTCCAACCTACTAGCGATGGTCTCCAACCTAAGAGCAATGGCCTCCACTAGCCTCCAACCTACTAGCGATGGGCCTCCAACCTAGCGATGGCCTCCTAAGAGGCCATCCAACCTACTAGCGATGGCTTCCAACCTAAGAGCAATGGCCTCCACTAGCCTCCAACCTACTAGCAATGGGCCTCCAACCTACGAGCAATGGCCTCCACTAGCCTCCAACCTACCAGCGATGCGCCTCCAACCTAAAAGCAATGGCCTCCAACCTACTGGCGATGGCCCCCATCCTAAGAGCAAGGGCCTCCAACCTACTAGCGCTGGCCTCTAACCTAAGAGCAATGGCCTCCACTAGCCTCCAACCTACCAGCAAACCTAAGAACCCGGCAACTGTTTCATTCTGTCTCCCATACGGCGGGCCAACTGTTGGACCTCGGCAACTTGCCAGTGGCTCTCCTCAGATCGCCGAAGTGGAAAAACTGACCATCGCGAAGTGAAAGTGCTATGGCCATGTCGCAAGCAGTTCATAAAGATACCGGAGGCGGAGCTGCAAATGACCAGAGTCTTCATGGGATCGTGCCAGCGGGTTTGGTACAACGCACGCACTATCTTGCATGCCCATGAACGCGTAAAATTGTGGAATGAAATAAGAACTTGCGCGAGAGTGTGTGTGTGTGTGTGTCAACCTCTGTAACTAAGAGTTTTGAATGCAGGGGGATCAGGGACGTTTGGCTTGGCCTGATCCAACGAAGCTCCAGCCATTCGTCAGGATATTCTCGAGGGACGCCTTGAGAACGTACCTGCTTTCAACGCACTGACTCCAATGGTCCACCCTGCCGCTGTTCTGTGGTTTCATGGTTCTTCTTCACGCTACTTCCCCCAAGCCCTGGGTTCTGCCGCTGCACCGCGTCGATTCGTTCGCCACCGCTGAGCTCTGCAGTCATGCGCAAACAATTTGTTTAACATTTCAAGTGAACTGACCTTCTCGCCTTGCTGTTCCCTCACCTTTTTCCACTTGGGAACTGAGTCAACGGAAAATAGAGTGTGAACCGCTCAGTCGTCCCACTTGGGTGCTGAGTGTGATCCCCGGGCGCTGAATTCATGCTGGAATCGTGTAACAGCTTTTCCTCTTCCACCATTCCTTAGATCTTCTTAACAGCTTTAGTTTCACTACTGAATTAACTGCTTACACGCCGCCGGGCTTTCACGGAGAATAAACCCCGATGTGTTTTCTACCCCAAACACCCCAACCCCTCCCACCCACTAATTGGGGTAACAGAGGGAAATGGTACAAGACTAAAGTCCCGCCGCTCCCTAACTATTGCACTTAATTCATTTCTGCTAAGTAATCAGTAATTCTAGAGTGCTCAGTATTCATACACACACACACATGTACATACACCTCCCTATCCACCACTTTCCTCCTTGCGTTTTTGGTCGTTCCTTGGGCTTTCTCTCAGGCTTTTTAGGTTGTTCTTGAGGCTCGTTTCCCTACCCCAGTCAAGGGCTAAGTATTCACTTTTTCCTACTCCTACCTTTCTCTCTTGCCCTCTTGGCGCTGCTCTTTCTGTGTTTCTTTCTTTCGTTTCTAAGGCTTTTTAGGTACCTATTCAGGTCCTTCACGCGAGCGCCGCAAAGCGGCGCCGTGTGTGCGTCAACCTCTGTAACTATAAGAGTTTTGAATGCAGGGGGATCAGGGACGTTTGGCTTGGCCTGATCCAACGAAGCTCCAGCCATTCGTCAGGATATTCTCGAGGGACGCCTTGAGAACGTACCTACTTTCAACGCGCTGACTCCAATGGTCCACCCTGCAGCTGTTCGTTGATTTCATGGTTCTTCTTCATGCTACTTCCCCCAAGCCCTGGGTTCTGCCGCTGCACCGCGTCGGTTCGTTCGCCACCGCTGAGCTCTGCAGTCATGCGCAAACAATTTGTTTAACATTTCAAGTGAACTGACCTTCTCGCCTTGCTGTTCCCTCACCTTTTTCCACTTGGGAACTGAGTTAACGGAAAACCAATGTCAGAGTGTGTGTTGACACCTGTCTCTAAGGTTTGTACCTGGTAAGTCTGCCGTAGGTTCCACTAGATGGCTGGGTGCTACTAGTAGCTTCTGGCCTATACTACAAGGAACCAAACTGAAAAAACACAGCGCGAGTCAAAAAGGAGGCAGGGGGATCAGGGACGTTTGGCTTGGCCTGATCCAACGAAGCTCCAGCCATTCGTCAGGATATTCTCGAGGGACGCCTTGAGAACGTACCTGCAAAGCCTGTTGAAACTGTTGAATAGGCTGTCCACTGCAGTGTTTTGCACTAATCGACTAATTAGTGACCTGCGAGCAACCTTGTTCAACATCTACAAGTCTATCGACTCTGCCACCTTTCGGTTTTCGTTCTTTCAGTTCATCAAGTCAAGGGGGACTTCACACTGATCCTAGCTCTTGCGAGCATTCGTCCAAGTGTGTACTCGCCACAGAGTCCCACTGAGGGCTGTGGTGTGATCCCCGTCGAGGGGCACTGCATGTGCATCCTGGCGGTTCCACCTTGGCATTTCGTTAGATTACTTCTGGCTTGACTGTTCTGCTCGACATCAATGATTTCACGCCGCAGGGCTTACTGAGACTCATGATCCAGACTGGATTTGCACCTCCACGCATGTGTCTAAGTATTCACCTGTACAGTACAGTCTGCACGTCTAGGTAATCACAGGCGGGGCTTCGGACTCAGACATGTCAGCGCGTGTGCTTTTCATGCTCTTGGGTTCTTTCTCTCTTTCTGTTGCTTTTCGTTTCTTGAAGCCTTTCCTTAGGTTTCAGGTACCTTTCAGACAAGGGTGCGCCGGCCAAAATCGGCTTCCCTGCCCCTGGGCCGCCGTTGCTATCCAACCCGCTATTTAGGGTAACAGAAGGAAATCGCACTCAACACACTTGTGTGTTGGTGCCTTTCCTTCTGTTTCTCCTGTCCTGCTTCTAGCTACCCGGGCGGTGTAAGACAAAAGTCCCGCTCGCTAACTACTTTCGTTTAACTAAGTGGGCCTGGTCACTACACCTATCTTTCTTTCTTGCCCTTTTCGTTTGCTCTTGTTTTGTTTCTTTTTCTGTCTTTCTGAGGCTTTTTCCCGAAAGCATTGCGAAGGGTTCTTCCGGAAAATCCTTTGAACACTGACACTTCGACACGCACACTGACACACTTACACTTCGACACTCACACTGACACACACACACACACTGGAAGAGCGAAAGCATCCAAGTGCGAAGTATGCCAGGGTCAAAGTATGCAAGTGTGAGTATGCAAGCAAGTGTGAGTATGGAAAATATGGAAAACTAGCACGGGAGATGTCCTAATGAAAAAACATTTCCCCACTTTATAAATTCTCTCTTAAAGGCGGAGTGTGGGACGAACAGCGTCAACCGAAAGTGCAACCCTCTGCGGAGATCGTGCGTGTGGAGTGCGCGAAATGCAGGCGAGAGTGCGATTTGTCCGGTCCGCGCGCAACCCTCTGCGGAGATCGCGCGTGTCGAGTGCGCGAAATGCAGGCGAGAGTGCGATTTGCCGGCTGTGCGCGCAACCCTCTGCGGAGATCGTGCGTGTCGAGTGCGCGAAATGCAGGCGAGAGTGCGATTTGCCGGCTGTGCGCGCAACCCTCTGCGGAGATCGTGCGTGTCGAGTGCGCGAAATGCAGGCGAGAGTGCGATTTGCCGGCTGTGCGCGCAACCCTCTGCGGAGATCGTGCGTGTCGAGTGCGCGAAATGCAGGCGAGAGTGCGATTTGCCGGCTGCGCGCGCAACCCTCTGCGGAGATCGTGCGTGTCGAGTGCGCGAAATGCAGGCACTGGCAACTTTCTAGTGCTACTTCAGTACGCGGAGCAATCTGTGGAGCTGGAAGCTGAGAACTGGCGACTTTGTAGTACAACTTGAGCGCGCGGAGTCTCTGGGGAGCTGGAAGATGAGAACTGGCGACTTTGTAGTACAACTTTAGTACGCGGAGTAATCTGCGGAGCTGGAAGCTGAGAACTGGCGACTTTGTAGTACAACTTTAGTACGCGGAGTATCTGGGGAGCTGGAAGATGAGAACTGGCGAAGTTGTAGTACAACTTTAGTACGCGGAGTATCTGGGGAGCTGGAAGATGAGAACTGGCGACTTTGTAGTACAACTTTACCCTAAGTCACCGAAATTAGTAAATTTACATTTTTATTGGATTTACGTAAGTTGATGAATTTAGGTGGCAAAAAGTGTAAATGGGTTAGTAAATGTAAATTTGATTTAGGTACAACCTAAATTTATTTAGGTTGGTCTTCACTAAGGGTTTTTGCTATTTTTCATTACTTTTTGATTTGCAAATATTCAATCTAAAACGCATCTTTTGAAGAAAGTAATTTGTAAAACATATAGCCACAAGTAGAGACATTTGGATAAAACCACAAGCACACACACACTCAGGTATAAGCACACAGGAAAAACAAGCGCAAGAAAAATAACTTGGGTATAAGCACCATGAGCTTTCCATCCTTTGTCCTGTCCAGGACTTGGTTCACTATCTTGCGCTGTTCTTCTGTGCGTCCCTTCTTCATGCTCAAAGTCTTCTTGCAAGCCTGCGCAACATAGTCTGGCAGAGAGCCCTCAGTCAACAAGGCCTTGAACTTGTTGTCCTTCGACCTGTCCTTCTTGGCCTCATCGCACTAGCACTAGAAGAAGTCTGCATTGTCCTGCTCCTCCTCCTCCTCCTCCACATTCTCTTGGTTGATCCTCTTCAACTTCTGGTGCTTCCTCCTCCTGATCCTCCTGCAACCCTGCTGCCCAGCCATGAGCTGCTGGCTTCTTCTTTGGCTGTACAGTTTCTCCACTGGCAGCAGGCCTTTTCAAAGAGCATGCCTTTGGCTTTGGCTTGCTCTTTCCTTTTGCTTTGGGCTTCTTCCCTTTAGGGCTCTTTGCTTTTGGGCTCTTGGATTTTGGGGTCTTTGCTTTGGCAGCTGGCCTTTGCTTCACAGGTGTACTGGGCTCTTCAACTACACCAGCCATCGTCCTTCTCCTCAGGAGTGACTTGGCCCATGGGAATCCCTTCCTCTGCCATGCCAATGCCAACAAGCTACTGCACCTATCCTTCAAACCTTTCAAAGCTCTTTGAGATCAATCCAGCTGCAAAAGTAAACAACAACCAATAAGCCAGCTGTGCAGTAAACTCTCAACAACTTCAATTTGAACAACATACAATGCTGATCAACTCTTTGTGCAAAAGCATTACCTTCTCAGGTAAAGGATAAACCAACTTCAATTTGAACAACATACAATGCTGATCAACTCTTTGTGCAAAAGCTTTACATTCTCAGGTAAAGGATAAACCAACTTCAAATTGAACAACATACAATGCTGATCAACTCTTTGTGCAAAAGCTTTACATTCTCAGGTAAAGGATAAACCCACAAGAATGCTAGATATCTTTTTGCTGACAATATGATGCAGA